ATCAGCGGCCGCGACCCAATTAGGATTTGAGTCGGGCACGCTGTATGGCTCTGCCACCACGCCCAGCCCGGCGTCACGCCCGCACAGGTCCGCAAGAAAGAGATCCTGGGCCTGCCGGGCGTGATTCAAGTTGGTCTGCAGGAGTCTCGTGGACATTGTTGTGTCCGCGAAACCCGTCACTCCTGCAGGCCGATCTCCATTGTGTCCTTCTTAGCGGAACACTGCGAGGGTATGGGCTCGCATTCCATCTCGTGGGAGGGACCGGGCCCCTCCAAGTTAGGCAGAATCGCCGCTGCCTTCTCCTTCCTACGAGGTCGGGCCTCAAAGTAATCGCTTGTCCCCAAAGTAATCAGTTTTTATCAAATTTTGGTCTCAAAATAATCGATTTGCGTATATATTGTAATATATAATTATTATTATTTTTTAGTTGATAATGATCTTGTTATTAATATAATGAAAAACAATGAAGATGTAAACAATGATGAAAATAATGAAATAAATGATATACAACTTTTACACAGAGGACAGCTTGTGAGGAACAGAATTATACATGACTTTTTTATGTAATATTTAGCACAAGTAAACATTATTAAAATTAAAAAATAGACAATATTTTATTTGCAAAATAACATTTTATTAATGTTCTAGGAAGTAACAAAACAAAATGGAGTGTTTTTTAAGCGTTACTGAAATACTATTTTTTAAACTTGAGGTATGCAAAATATAAAAACTATTTAAGTAGAATTTTATGCAAAAGTTGTAAGTAATATCTAATTTTAATAAGTAATAAGTATTTGCTAACTTTCATTAATAAATTAATTTTATTTGATATAAAAATCAGTGACAGAGAATTAGCACCTAGATTTTATTTAGCTTTAGTACATAACTTATTGACACAACTTTGCATTTTGCGTATTTTGCATACCTGTAGAACTTCAAACTTACGACATTTTCGTAATTTGCTATAATTGCACTATAATTATTGCGACAATGCAATGTAACGCATGAAATAATAACATAAAATAAACAACATTTATAGAACAATCTTGTTACTTTTTTATAAGTTACTTTAGTCAATAAAAGAACTATTTTAGAGATCGATTTATAAAAAACAACATAAAAACACATGTCTACAATTAATATCAAAATGTAATTATGAAAGAATATATTAATTGACTTTTTGGCTATAATACTTAAAGTTATAAAAATTAAATTTCTTTTATCAATAAACAATATTAATAATTATTGAAATTAAATTTCCTTTATCAATAAATAATATTAATATTTGTGAAAATTAAATTTTTTTAATCAATAAATAATATTAATCTTTATGAAATTAATAAAATGATTTAAATAGTATAAATAATAAAATTCTGAAAGATTGTCAAATAAAAAAAACAGTTGCATCAGAAAAAAACCATATTAGTAATGACAAAATTATGCAGAAACAATCTTTTGAAGAAACTTTACTTAAAACCAATCTCTTAAAGAAATAATTATTCTGAATCGGAACTTATAACAAATATATGGTTTGGATATTCCATTTTCAGTTTTAGTTTTTCTAATTTTAATCGTCTTGCTTCATATAACTCTACATTCTTAAGATGGTTACGTATTTCACATAGAACTTCAAATTGTGAAGTTTCTTTAACATTACTGTTGTCCACAAGTTGTTGTAAGCATCCAGTTAGACTTTTACTTTTTTTATTAGAAGTTTGTTTCTGCATAATTTTTTCGCTATCACATTTAAATTTTTTTTTAGATCTTTCAACAACTTTATCATTGCTTATGTCAACAAGATCTAACTGACTAGGATTATCAATATTTGTAATAGGTATAGCTGCATTGTTATGTTCTAGAAGTCTCAGATTTACAGTCGGATTATCTTCCATCATTTCTTCTTCTTCCTGTACGTCAACTACTTGTACATGTTGATCAACTAAAAAATAATTTTGAAATTGTTTATAATTTTTATATATTTTTAATGTAGAATAAATTGCTTCTTACCTATTCCAAATTGTGCTATATTATTCATTCCGTCCACAACCACGTTACCAATAATATCTAATAATATATTTTCTAAATTACTTAATAATTTTTTTTTATTTTCTTTATTTCCAGTTTTTTGTTGTGCTAGTTTTAATTCACGAGCCTTACTTTTCACTTGAGATTTCCAGTATGTAAATACCTATATAAAAAAACAATAAATATTATGTAACAAATTATAAATTAGTTTATTGAAATTTACCCTTTTCCATTCTTGAGTTGATTTCACTGGCCCTCCAGAGGCATTTAGTTTTTCGCACAGCTTTTGCCAAGATTCATCAATTATATTTGGTTGCGTTGCATCAAATTTATTCTCTCTGAGTGCTTTATTAACACGAAGTTCTTCCAGATACAGTTCATATTGTCTCCGTGTAGTTTTGGCAGCACGTTTTTTCTTTTCTTCCTTATCCATTCTGTAAAAAAACAATCATTTACAAATATACACATCAAACACACATATATTGTAAGGCATATAATCATTTAAAAGTTTCTGAAATGCATTTCTAATTTGAATTTCAAATCTGGATAATTAATTGGATGGATTGGAAAAAATATAATAGTTTCAACAGAAACTACCTGTAAAAACAATGAAAAATACAAACAGTTACACATGACAAAATACGCTGTAGAGGTTAGAGTAAAATCTAATATTATTTATATATAATACAATGAAATTATTAAACGATTCAACTTACGTTAATGCTTTGCAAGATTTCTTCTTTTTCTTCTAAATTTTCAAAAATTAATCGGAAAACAAATATTTTAAAGATTTGCCAACTATATTTGACAGAACTGCTCTTGAAGAATTGCTTTCCGTTTGTGACATACTACCAACATTAAAAATCTATGATTTCCATTACACATACTATAGAAAAGTAGTACCAACCTTCTAAAAAACGTCGTTAAGCAGAGATAATCATTCGTACCTGAACGACTTGCTTATAGAATAACTTTTTCCAAATTGTCATTAAACAATCATTCGTAAGAGAGTCGTTAATATAACGATGTCGTAAAATAACAACAAGTTACAAAATAGGGGTCTTAGTGCGATCGGCGGAACGATCGGCGCAAGCGCGTGTGATCGAGTTGTAACAGTTGGCTCGACGAAGCGCCTGTCGGTGAGTGTGTTCGCAGCGGTGACGCGAGTCCATTCGATAATAGATCGATACGGACTGCTCGGCGGCGCGGATTGATCGACGCGGTGTTGCCTGCCGGAAAGATTACGATTTGAAGTCCCGGCGAAGAAACGCGATATTTGGATCAGGAAGCCAAGTACGCTCGGCGGGAGTACGAGAACGCTCGTACAAAGGCGGACTCAGAGCGGCAATCCAGCTAGGTACACGGGAATGCCCGTTGCACAAAGATCGGTGCCGAGAGGGGCCGAGTACGCTCGGCGGGAGTACGAGAACGCTCGTACGAAGGCGGAATTAGAACGGCGATCCGGCTAGGTACACGGGAATGCCCGCTGCACAAAGATCGGTGCTAGAGGAGTCAAGTACGCTCGGCGGGTATGCGAGAACACTCGTATGCTGAGGCAAGAATACCGAGGACGCTCGGCGGTACACGAGAACGCTCGTGTGCTGGAAAAGGCATAGAAGCCGAGTACGCTCGGCGGACTACGAGAACGCTCGTAGAGAGATGTTCGCTGTCTAACAGCAAACAGGATCTGGTGAGAAGACGTACAATCGGGCCTCTTTTATACCCGGCTGGCGGCCGATTGACTTTGGATCGGCAAGCATCGGCGGTTTCGGCGGCGGGCCCCCACTAACGGAATTTCGGAACGGTCGGATGTGGGGGTCCGTTCGGCGATTGACCGCCGTTGTTTTTGAT